ACATTTCAGCTCCCAATCAACCTGGCCCAGGAATAAGTATTTCCTTAAAACTCTTAAAGGCAGGCCTTTTATGCTAAGATATATGTTTCCAAACTTATTTCGATAAGATGAAAAAAACTAGAAATTTAGGATTATGTCACTGAATAATGATAGATTGATCTTCTGGACCTTTCTTTGTAACTTGACTCATAGAATAAAAATCTTCAGATATCAAATCTAAAATGGATGGTGCTTTTTTCCTTCCTCTCTGAATTGTCTCCTAGATGTTAACTTTTGCATAGCAGATGCTCTCTCAATACGTATATTTTAAATATAAGACATGAATCTCCAAAGCATACAGTTGAAAACACAATGGCTTCCTTAGATAAATATTCCTTTGGAAGTTACATGGTATCCATGCACACTCTTATTTATTCTGGCATATTTTTTACTTTTTGGATTTTAACCACTTTGAAATTCCAGGTCCCCAGATGGCTTCCACCAGTTCCCACCTCCCAGCAGATCCTCGGTTAGAAGCAGGCAATCTGTCCTTCACACTCTGACAACAGGTCATTGTCTCCTTCCGCTTATTCAATTCATACTTATTTATTTAATATCTTGTTAATGTTCAGGTCCTCTGGTTGCATTTTGATTGTTTTTACGGTGCCTGAGCAATTTTAATAACATGAAAGTAAAGATGCTTGGAAGCTTTATTCTAAGGTAGGAGGAGGACAAGTCCTTCTGCCCCACATCCCAGGGAGTCTTCATCAGGCTCCAGATTTTCAGTCTTTCCTCTGCAAAGACTTTGTTCACAGTGATCTTGTCACTGCTGCTGACACCTAGTAATGTGTCCTTGACCCCCACCCTGACCCTTTTCCCTTTCTCTGACTGTCCTGCGTCACTCTACGGATTGTCCTAGGGCTTCCTTGCCTCCAGGTGCCTTTGCACTTTGAGGCTGCAATTTTTGATCCATAGAAGGTTTCCGGACAGCTTTGCACCCCCACCCTTCCACCCTGGCATCACTGAAAGACAAAGTCAAAGAAACCATCAGGAAAAATGAATTAATGGGCCCCAATGTGGCGCCAAGTTTCCTTTCCTCTTTTTCTTTTCCTAGTGAAACCACCGATACATTTCTTGTGGTGCTTTCTGTCTCAGTGGCATTTTATCTCTTCTATCCCACTTGTAATTTATTGGATAAGCTTTTTCACGGTCAGGATTTCTCTATTTCTGTCTGTTTTGTTTCCTACTCCTGTCCCATTTCCTATCCCGTTTCCCCCTCCCTCCCTGGTCCCTGCCCACCAGAAAAAACCAAAAGACCAATTATTCATCCTGGGGACTTGAAATGGCCACGGTAACTGTTGTAACATGTCTGTGGTCTAATTACATTAATTTGATAAGATCATCATCGGCAGGATGTCTAATTTATTTGCAAGCGGTAGCCAGGGAGAAGCTTTGACCAAATTAACATGCCTTCGGGACCAGGGGGTGCAGGCTCCATATGGCTCTCTGGATTTTCCTATAAATAACCCTCCTCCAGCCCACTCCCGCGGTTACATCCCCCCCTACCAGAATGCCGCAAAGTTCACCAG